TAAAGAAACAAGGGGGAAAGCAAAGAGGGAGGGAGGGAACTGAGACGGTCATCCTGAAAACTAACTTTAAAATAGAGGAGTAGATACCAGACACAGACTTGAGACCCCCCAGGCTGAGGAGGCACACGGAACTGATGAACGACTGCTAAGCTTTGCACGTATCTTGCTTTGCATCTAGACCTCTCCATCACTTCTCCTTCCTGTCCCACAACCGCTGGTCCTTGCCATTCTAACTCCTGCTGACGCTCTTTCCCTGTTAATATTTCCCTTCTTCTTCTCCTCTACCAAACTGCAGCCACCCCATCGAGTTCTGCTTCCTTGGTGGACCCTGGTCCAGGCATCCGAAAAAAAACTTTAAAAAGACTTTCCCCCATGGTCTCGGGAAGAACCTGAAGGCTCTCGGGGTGAGCTGGCTAACGACAGAACTCCGGCTTTCCACTCAACTCCTCCATACTTGAGTGACCCTGCCATTCCCTTCCCATCAGCCTACAAGCATCCGTCCCTAGCAACTGGAGTGCTAGATGGGCTCTACGGGGTCTCTTTTTATCTCTCATTCACTTTATTCCATTTAAATGGCTACCTTCCCTATGTCCACCCTGTGCTGCAGGCGGAATCACCGGACGAACACCTTGGAGCTGGGGAAGGAAACGGCCGTCAGGCGATCACGCGCTCATGCCAGCTCTAGCAAACACCAGCCAGGTAAGTCACTGCTCTGAAAGTCCACTTCCCTCTCCATCAAAAGGAGGGAATAGCCACCTCGCCTCTTGCCCAAGGTTGTTAAAGTAACAAGAGGGGATTGCCCTTGTAGACAGTGCGCCATTCATTGGGCACGGTGCTTACTGCGGAAGCTGTTCCCTGTAACCCTCCTCGGTCTCCGTTCCATAAAAGGGGTGGATCTCATATCCTGGACTTTTGTCCTTTAGTACTCAATGGCTAACATTACCACAAGCAACCAATCCGGGCTTTCTGTCTCCACTCAGTCCCAGAGTTCCACCCAGCAGAATTCTGCCCAGTATGAATATGGACACGGTATCATGTTTGTAAGGGATTTGTTTCGCTCCTCAGCCCTGGTCAATGTTTACATTCACAAGGAAGAAGCATTGTTTCAATGCTCGGAGCCATATGGCATATGATGAAGCTGCATGACTCCTCTTCCTGATTGGATTCTGAAGAAAATGCCCCCCACCTGCCAACATCTGAATGCTATAAATAGTGAGAAAAATAGAGAAGTCTTAAAAGCCCATTGGATTCAGGGACTTTCTTGGATGGCCAGCGCGGAAAAATATTTTGCTAAAAAATAGGGAGTGTTGCTGTGACTGGCATCCAGGCGGACAGTTTAGTTAGTGTTTACCCAGCCTGTGGCCAGGGAACACTCAGCTGTTTATTCCAGTGGAGGGAATGCTGAGAGACACTGTTTGCCTAGTTAGAAGCGCGCTTTGAGACTGCAAGGCTACCTGGGACCAATTTTCAACTAAATTTATCTTTGGACTTTGTGTGAGTAATCCAACCTTAACCAAATGCTTTTGGCTTTCTCTATAGCCAATGTCACAGAATCGTTACCAAACATCTCCTGGCTTTGGCCCACAAGGATGGCTTCTGATTGATTATCCAGCCAAATCTGAATTTGAGAGCTCGATGTGAGTTCTGGGGAAATAGACCGTGTTTTGTTTAATGCAGGAAGCAAGTATTGCTTATTAAATAAAAACGGAATGATATTTAGCCAGGCATTTTCAAACATCTTTGCCCTTTGCTCCATGGTACAATGAATAACACATACTATTGAGCACCACTCATAAGCAGCTTCATTTCATGAGAGCAATTTATGTTTTATTTTATTGCTTACTTAAAAAGCATAGCTTTGGCTAATAACTGCTTTCATGGCCATTTTGACACTGACCTGGAGAAAAAGTTGAAAAATGTATTTTATTTTCACCCTCGGGCCCCCCAAGTGTGAGTTCTTTTGATGAAATATAACAGGTTAAGAGCAGAGCAGCTCCAATAAAATACATATATATATGGTTCCCCTATTGTGAGTGGTGATTACTGTTTGCTAATCCGCTTTCTTCTTTTCATTGGCGCTGATTTTCATGTGCAATCCCACAGTTTTGTTTCATTTTGTTTTGTTTGGCTATTATATCAGGCTGCTCAGTTTAAAAGACAATTCTTCTGAGGCCGTCAGAACACAGAATGGAGAACTCTTGACTCCATCACCGCTCATGAATGTTTGACCAGGGTGAAAACAAGGCATGAAGGTTTGTGAGGCAGGTCCTCCATGTCTCCGTCACCGTCACCGGCACATCCTCATTCGTTTCTGCATCGTTAACGGCTCTCAATTTTCTCCAGGCTCCTGGTGAATAGCGACTGCAATCCCATCTCATAGATGATAAAATTCCTGGTGGGAGAAACGAGACGGGAGCCCAGCAAATCACACAACCAGAGATTTACCCCACCCCTGAGTCTGAGTCCCACGCCAGGGCTTTTTCTCCAGGGCCTGGAATCTCAGGAGGGCAGGAATCTGCAGACCCAGCTCCTTGTCAATTTGACAAATGTGTTAAATTCACAGATAAAAGCCTCCATGTTCGGCTGTCAAGGGGTCAGTTCGCCGGAGCCCTTCTATCCTCTAAGCCCTACTCCGAAGCAGAGGCCCTCGTGAGCTCTGTTGCTGCAGCAACATAGTTCAATCGTGGGGGAGCCCCCAACTACAAAGATCGTGACAGTTGCCTGAAGCATCTGTGGGGCAGGGCTGTGCTAGCGCAAAACCCCCAGAGCTGGGTTTGATTCCTCCCGCGGTCCATCAGTCAAGAACCCCAAGCTCTCCCAGTGAAGAGCTAGGACCTAGTGAATGGTGCCCATGGAAAACACCGCCAGGATAAACCCAGGCCGTAGCAGAGGATGCCACACGAAAAAGAGGCGCACACTGCCCGGACAGGAAACCAGAGAAAACCAGGTGGGCGGAAGTGCTGACGAGTCACGTGGCTCCTAATTCCGAACTGCTGTTCCGTGGGCTCTGTTAGTGCCTCTCTTCGTGGTATTTGTGTTAATTAACTTTGTAGGTTACTGTATAAAGTAATGAATTTTAGCATGGCATCTTCAGATGCGTGCCTGGGTCGGTAGACTTTGCTTTCATTTCCTCCGCTCCCCCACTGGTTTCCCTGCCTGCCCTCCCCTCCTTCCAGCTGGTCCCCTCCCCTCCCCTTCTGATTCCTTATTATACGTATTCTCTGTCTCCTACGCGACTGAGATGGCTTCCTCCCCTTTCATGATCCTCTTTCTACATCCATGACCTGCATAAACAGACATTTATAAATATACGCCCCTACACACACACACACACACACACACACACAATATACAATTTTAAATTTAATTTGGGCCTATGAAAGAAAACATTCAGTATTTGCCTTCCTGAGTCTCCACTTATTTTGCTTAGCATGATTTCCAGTTGTATTCACTTTCTTGCAAATATCAGTTCATTTTTCTTTATGCTGCATATAATCCCATTATGTCTACGGGCCTTGTTCTCTTCATCCATTCATCTGCTGATGGATATCTAAGCTCGTCTAATTTCCTGGCTATTGAGAAAAATGCAACGATAAACATAGATATGCAAGAATCTCTGTGTTTGTTCACTGAGAGCCTTTTACATATAACACCACTAACACACACACACACACACACACACACACTTGCCTGCTGAAAGTGTCATACTCTGAGTTTGAGGCTAAACAGAATAAGGTTTCTATGCTTTGTCTTAAGATGCACTTTTTAGACAGCCATCACTAGAAGTTTTAAATTATAACCTAATGCCTCTTCAGTTATGTCAAAAAAGAGTCTTAATAATAAGTATTTGTGCTGCTACCCGGCAATCAACCATCTATATCTTCAGTCTCGGACATCAATACCAGGAACTAATTAAAATCCAAATATATTAGCAGATGCCACTGTTCTTGAACTAGTAAAAAGAGAAGAGAAATGCGGGAATAAGCAGGAGGAAAAGTGGAGCAATGGACTGAATTCACAATCACAGTACAAGGAAGGACGTAGCAGGGCTCTAATTCCAGGTCAGATGTATACAAGGTCTGCGGTACTCTGCAAATGAACTAGCCTGCCTGAACATCAGCGTTCTTCCTTGACCAACGCTCATCTGGCTAGAGAGATGGCACAGGGCAAGAGTCTGCTGGTCTTGCAGAGGACCTGAGTTCAATTCCCAGAACCCACATCAAGTAGCTCACAACTGCCTGCTGCTCCAGCTCCAGGAGACACAACATTTCCGTCTTCTACTGACATCACATTCAAATGCACACTTATACACACACACACACACACACACACACACACACACATACACACACAAAACAATAGTAATAGTAATACATATTGAAAAATTAGGCTTGCCTTATTTTAGTTATTGTGAAAAATAAGTAAATTAGTAGGTCTGATCATTGCATCTTCTAAGCTCAGAAGGAAACATCAGGCATCATCTTGTCCAACTTCCTGCCCAATATAGCATCCTCGCCTTGTGGTCTCTGTCAGTCTGAAGCCACCTGTGGAATGTGATGTGTTCCAACCTGATGAAAGGGCCATTGCTCTCTTCACAGCTATAACTACTAGAAATTTACTCTTAGAATTCAAGCCAGCATTACCAGGAGCTTCCCTCAATAATAAGCCTCTTAAACGATGGGATTGGCCTGTGCCTGGCGTATCTCTGGAGATCCTGCCAGTTCTAGTGCCACCGTGGCTCGTGTTTCAGAAGCTGATAGATACCCTGAAACTGTCAATCAATCCTGCCCTCAAGTCTTTCCTAACAAGGAAAGCTGCAGGGCTCTCCCACATCTCCCCCTTAAGTGTACAACTGCTATGTACATTTGTTTTCTACTTACAAAAGCCAGGTGTAGTCAAAGCAGTAGACGTGAAAATCAAAAGTAAAAAGCCCTAAGATTTCAATCTGACTATTAGCATATTGGTATATGTCTTCTTGTTCTTTCTCTCCTACACTGGTACAGATTTTTCATCAAAATATCATCATGCTACATACATCATTCTGGAGCCTCCTGATTATGTTGAATTAACTGGAAGATAAAGATTCTAGAACCCAAGGGCATCTCACACTCCAGGATAATGTGACAGAGACTGACTGGTAAGGGGATGAATGAATTAGACATCCCTGCATAATCAAATATGATTATGCAGACTCGTTAATTTGGGGATTCAGTCTTCTGACTATGAGTCTTCATTATTTGCAATCTTAAGAGTGCTTTTGAATCTTAAAAAAAATATTGAGAGTTGTTAGGTTTATCTAATTAAATAGTCATCAATGTAAAGAAGGCATAATCTCACATTCATCTATGATAGTCACAAAAAAAAAGCATAAATGGTTGTCATATGCCCTAGTGAAACAGAGAGAGATTACATCTCTGTGATATGCCTAGAAATACTCGTCTAATAGCTCCATGCAGCCAGGAGAATTGAGTTAGCTTTGTAATCTCGGAGACGATCGGTACATCTTAGCTGTTCAGTCACAATAACACAGGGCAGTGAGGATCAGCAGGTCCGAAAACACAGCGTAGCGCCCAGGTGTGGCCGACTGTGAAGACAGTCTGGCTCACAGAAGTTCGGCTGGACAGATAAAGTGTGCGGCATGCTGGACATCTGCTCTGTCTCTAATTACTGCTCTGACAAAACCAGCGAGCCCTTGGTGAACAGGCCTGTGCTGGAGTCACCTGTGTCCCCATGGCCCTTCTCAGAGACTGGCCTGTCAAAATAACTCTGCTATTGTTTGAATTTAAATGTCCTCCAGTGGCCACATTTGGAAAATTTGGTCACCAGCCTGTGTGTGAGGAAGTAGAAGAACCTTTAGGGAGTAGAGCTGAGTGGGAGGAAATTAGGTTTCTGGAGGCATGCTTTGCAAGAAAACATAGGGCATCTCTCTCTCTCTCTCTCTCTCTCTCTCTCTCTCTCTCCAGTCCACAGTGAGGTAAGAATCTTCCTCAGCTGCGTGTTTGTGCCCTAATGTCCCGCCTCTCTCTTCAGGTTCAAAAACAAAACATCCATGAGTCGAAACCTCTGAAATCAGAGCCAGAATGAAGTTAACTTTTTTTTTTCTTCAAGACAGGGTTTCTCTGTGTAACAGCCCTGGATCTCGCTCTGTAGACCAGGCTGGCCTTGGACTCACAGAGATCTGCCTGACTCTGCCTTCCGAGTGCTGGGATTAAAGGCGTGCGCCGCCGCCGCCGCCGCCGCCGCCGCCGCCGCCGCCGCCGCCGCCACCACCACCCAGCTTAATTCTTCAAAACTGGTTTTCTACAGTAGTTTGACATGAGGACGGAAAGCTGTGTAACACAGATCCCAGGTGAGAGGTGTTGCGTGCTGTTTCTGTCCACTCTCCAATCCCATTCAATTCACAAAACCCCATCGCGGTAAGAGTTGCTAACCCATGATGAAGACAAGGCACCGACTTAAAACCCTAAGGAGCAAAGAGGTCACCACCATTTAACAGGCTCGCCTCACCTTCGCTTCCTCATCCAGGAAGCAAAGAGAAAAAGGAAGAGGCCAGGAGCCCAGAGTCCCCTTTCACATCTTGCCTTCAGCAACCTCACTTCGTGACATTCAGCGCCACCTGCTGAAGAGTTCACCACCCATCATTAGCGCCACAGGCAGGCGACCAAGCTTTCAACATCTGGCCTCTGGAGACATCTGAATTCCCAACCGGTCATTTAGACAATTACTGAGTATTTACTGTATACTAGGGACTGCCTGGGTGCTGGAGATTGAGGGTCTGCTCTCATTCTGGAGGCCAAGGAAAGAAGAAAAACTAAGTGTGCCAGGTAAACGCCCAGGGTAATCATCTTGGTAACAATCCCGTGCCACAGAGTTCAACAGCGTGATAGTAGACTAATGTGAGGTTGGGGGCGAAGCTTGTTTAGAGACAGTAGTCAGGACGCCTTCTCCAAAAATGAAAATCCCAGCTGCAATGTTCCTGAGAAAAAACATCCAGAAATGGGAATGTCTGAGGGAAGGAAGCAGGCGAGCACAAAGACCCTGAGGCAGGAACAGACTTAGGACGGATGAGAAAGGAAAGTGGGCCAACCGTCTCCAGAGATGGTTTTTAAGTTGAGAATGGTGTGCCAGGTTAGACGAACCCTCACAGGACATAAGGAAGAGTTTGCTGGTTTGTTCTATTACCTCCATGATGAGAACTTATAGAAGACATAAAGCAAGGCGGAAATGTGATTGGATTCAGACTTTTCAGAGATAAAAATCTGAATGTTGCGCTAAAGCCTGGGGCAGTCACGTATTTCAGAGAACTGGTGCAGAATGAAGTAATACGGGCATAGTTCAAGAAGCAGCCAGCAGGCCCTGGAGGAGACGAGAACTGGAATCCGCAGCATCTGGGGCCCACAAAAGGCAGTCCATACCAGAAGGACAATGGCTCAGAGGTTTCCTGGTCCCACTCATCAACCCCAAACACAGAACCCAGAGAGATCCAGTTGACGAAAGAGCGCCAGTAACCACTTCTTGGGTAGGCAAATGTAGTAGATGACCATAGTAAGAGCAGAAATGAGGGGAAGATAAACAAGGCAGAACTCAGCGGTGGTTTCTGGTGGAGAAGAAAGGGATGGAGCTAGGGATGGAGGACTGGGGAATACAAGATACAATGCAGGTACTGACACCCTGCACCAGCACCACTGCCCCCAGGGTATGCTTAATGCTGGGGTAACACTGGCAGAACTCGAGGTGGTCACATGGTCCGATGTTGGTGGTGCTGTGTCTCGACGTGGATTCCACTCTGGGGAAAGCACTAAGGACCAGGCGGTAAAGAAAGTTGGGGAGGAAGCAAGCTGCAAGGTCAGCGAGCATTCTTCCTAATTAACCTTGCCAGGCTCTTAATGTTCACCTCATTCACATCACCCAGGGACACATCGTGCTTTTTTGTTTGTTTGGGTTTTTTTTGTTTTTTTTTTTTTTTTTGAAACAGGGTTTCTCTGTGTAGTTTTGCACCTTTCCTGGAACTCACTTGGTAGACCAGGCTGGCCTCGAACTCACAGAGATCCGCCTGCCTCTGCCTCCCGAGTGCTGGGATTAAAGGCGTGTGCCAACACCGCCCGGCCACATCATGCTTCTTTAATAGGTTTTTCTCAAAAATTTCAAGATTGTCCAAGTTACAACTACAGGCAAAATTAGTTGTGTAGGCTCTGTTAACTTAGTGATTTTTCATAAATCTATTAAACTTCTTAGTCCTTCTCCAACTTGGCTGTGGAACCCCACCCCACCCCACCTCCACCCCCACTCCACTCCCTCGCCCCACCCCCCTTCAGCCCCTCTCTCTGGAACATGGATCCCTTCCTCTCTCTTCTCTTTTCCCTCTCTCCTCTCCCCCTCCTCCTCCTTTTTCTGTGCCTCTTCCTCTGTCCTGGGCTTTTTTTTATTGATGTATAGTTAAGACAAAAATAAAATAAAACACAATTCTCAAGGAAAATAACAATATGACATAAACCCGTGTTTTCTTTGAATCTATCTTTTATATTTCATTGCATATGAGCACACCATTTGCCTTTCTCAGGGCTTCAGGCACATTTTATATTATATAGGATTTCTTTTTCAAAAATTACTAAAAGTGATTTTTTTTTTTCCCCTTCATGATTCATTGATCTTTTCTGCAAGCTCATTCATTGTTTGAGTTTAATTCCCTTGGATTTCATGAAGACATGAACTCCCTTACATCAGCCCAGGGTTCCCATAACTATCTCATTAACTTGTGTTTCAGTTTCTTTGAATGATGTTTCTTTTATCCTCGTCGTCGTCGTCCTGCGCGCCTTGCTGGAGAACTGCAAAAGGGAAAACAGGAGATGAGAAGTTCTGTTTCTGTGTCATCTGTTAGCATTGCGCCATCTGCCCCAGGCAACTGGCCTATCCCTTCCCTGTTTTTCTGGGTAGTAAACAGATTTCCTCAAAGGGAGAAAGAAAAGGGAGAACAAAGGGTGTGCTGCATCAGGGCCTGGGGAGGGGGTGGAATGGTACCCATGGTGCCCGGATCACAGGCTGTTTTTCCACACCCTGCTGCTCGCCTCTCAATCCACCTGCTTGCTCCCCTGTCAGCTAAGGCCTCCCTGATACAGCTCCCATCAAAACTCCGAGGAGGGAGCAGGGGTAATACACAGACAGTTGGCTCTTGTCTGTGATTACCATACAGCAGGATTGGTGTCAATCATTCTGAGCTTCCAAAACCCGGCTCCAGCCAGGCCTCAGCAACGCTACCTCCTTCCAGCCTGACCCCCCCTCCCCCTCCCACATCTCACTCCTGAAACTCAGTAAACATCTCCTTTCCCAGTACTGCTGTGTCATGCAGGGCACATCCCTCTGCTGTTTTGCTGTTTTGTTATTTTGTTTTTGTTTTTGTTTTTTACGTCTGATTATTGATTAACGGGGACTACTAGATTAATTCGCGAAGCGCGCCGCAACTCATCATAAGATCTGTGTATTAATAGACATCAGATATGCATTGAGTTTTGGAGGCCCTGAGTTTGAGATTAGGGTATACTAAGTGTACACTAGTATACCATATATATATATATATATATATTACGGTTGGTGTCTCTGAGGGCTGGGAGAAAGTCCATTTTATCTGTCACTTGGCTTCAGGGAAATTGCTTGGTCATCTTTGTTTTTTGGCTTGTAGATACATAATCCTCATCTCTGCTGTTATATGTTCATGGCCTTCCATCCATTTATCTGGTGGTGAGATTAAGGTTCCACCCCACCCATGTCACCTCAACTTTAAGTAATATATTTTTAAGTCATATTCAAAGATGCTGTCGGTGAGAGCTGCAAGATGGGAAATTTACTTAATAGGTCTTACTTTTGATTCTCTAGAGAAAAACTAAAGTCTTCTGATGATTGAACTGCTTAAGTTTTGTTACTCCAAACTCAAGACACGGAGAGCCCAGAAAAAAACCAACTTTCTTTAGTAGGATTTTAAGGTAACTATACTTCTGTTGAGTAGGTGAGACAAGTCCCCAATCCCAACAGACTCTTGGGGCTCTCCTTCCTTGCTGTACCTCCTTGCTGTTGAGCTTCATGGTCAGTGCCCTCCCCCGCCACCACCCTTCCCCCAACACCAGCGCTTTCTCTTCTCATCTGGCTAGACCTCCTTGCTGCTGAACTTCGTGGTCTGTGGGCCCTGTTCTCCGAATCCCTGTTCTTCCCTCCCCAGGACCTGGCTCCACATTGGTTTACATAGATTGTCTTCATTTTGCCTCCCTCCGCCTTACTTTCCTGAGCAGTGCTTTGGTGGTTTGGGTTGGGTTTTTGAATCAGGGTCTCCTCACTCTGTAGCCCAAGTTTGCCAGGAACTCCCAGCAATCCTCCTGCCTCTGATGCTCAAGTGCTGGGATTATAGATACACACTGAGATGCTCAGATTCTTCTTCTTCTCCTTCTCCTTCTCCTCCTCTTCTCTCCTCCCCCTTTTCTCTCCTCCCCCTTTTCTCTCCTCCCTCTCTCTCCTCCCCCTTTTCTCTCCTCCCCCTTTTCTCTCCTCCCCCTTTTCTCTCCTCCCCCTCCCCCTTTTCTCTCCTCCCCCTTTTCTCTCCTCCCCCTTCTTTCCTCCCCCTTCTCTCCTCCCCCTTCTCTCCTCCCCCTTCTCTCCTCCCCCTTCTCCTTCTCCTTCTCCTTCTAATTCAGACGTGACTGCTGTGGGCATGTGCCGTCTTCTATGAAGCCTGAGCTCTTGAGGTTTGACTACCAAGCTCTGCCAAGCTTCTGCCATTACTTGTGGATTAAGCCCCGTATTCCGTAAACATACCTTAGCCATATGCAGAGTTTACTATTGCAATCAAAACTTACAACAAAGGCAATCTGATATAAATGTAACGACATGTATAATGAGTATTGTGTTGCTATGTGCTCATAAACCATAAGCAGCTCAAATAAATGCCATTTAATGCCTAATTTTTACATACGCAGTGGAAGCATGTCGTTTTTAAGCTCCTTTTGGAGAAGCTATAATTAATATTCAGGCAGCCAACAGCTCCCCTACCACATTACAATTTAAACAGCGAAGTTCCTAGATCTCACTTTCCAGTAATTATTATGCAACTACATTGGAGCCCTTGATGCCAAACCCTGTGCCAGGTGCTTTTATACAGGGAAAGCAACAGCATCATCTCCATCACCAAGTAACCCGGGTTCCCTGATTCTCACTCCCGGTTGATGGCCTGAAGACTATTGGAGTCTACTTCTGACCATCCCAGCTCCCAACTTTACTCCCTACCGGACTTTAAAGTTCTATCATTAGAGAATTCCCTGCCCAGTACTTCCTAGTCCCTGGCTTTGCGTCCATACAAACTCTGGTCTCTGAACCCATGGGCTACTGTTAAATAAAATGGTGTCTCAAAAGAATTCTTTCTGTGCACACAGAAAAAGAGAGAGAAGGCCCATGAAAGGGGATGCAGGGATGGAAAGAGTAAAGAACGTGAATGGGACAGAAGAGCATCCATTGCTCCAATCATGAGCTTCAGCGAGTCCCTCTGTAGCTTGTAGATTTCCTATATCCTGGCCTGCCGGCATTTGGGACAAATCTCTCCCACTCACATCCCCCAAGTAAACACATAGAGGCTTATATTAACTATAATTGCATGGCCATGGCTCAAGCTTTTAGCTAGCTAGCTCTATATCTTAAATTAGCCCATAACTATTAATCTACGTATCATCACATGTTCCGTGGCTTTACCTGCATCCCATTACATGTTGCTCCTTGGGCCCCCCAACCTTCTTCCTGTCTCTTTCTTTGAATTTTCTGCCTACCTCTAAGCTGCCTTGCCATAGGCCAAACAGCTTTTTTTGTTGTTGTTGTTTTGTTTGTTTGTTT